AATACCACACATCTTGTTTGGCCACTAGATACTTGAGAATAGAGATATTCTTTTTAAAGAATCATCATAATTTAGGCCCTGTTTGGTTTGACTGAAAACGATGGAAAAGAAAAGAAAAAGAAAAAGAAAATAGATTTGTATTGTTTGGTTGATGGAAAGATAAGAAGAAAATGAAAATGAGAATCAGAGAAGAAAATAAGGCTTTGAATTTTCGTTCTCAATTTCTTCCTCTGAAGCTAGTGAAAGTTGGGGAAAATTTTGTCGGGGCCGGTGAAGCACAACTCCCGTTAAGGCGCTAACTCGATGCCACTACCCCTGTGCTGACAACCCCCGCTATCTCGATGCCACTACCCAACTCGTTGAGAAGAAAAATCATCCATTGATTGAGTGTGGGCCCCACCAGGGCTAAGACCATTATATTCAGTGGTCCAACTAGGGCATTTATGTAGGTTTAAGTACACTATACATATGAAAAAAAATCATGTACAGAACTCTCTTTATAGGATATATTATGGTACATTATACTAAACACCCATAAACTTTCAATGCTTTATAGGAAACCCCCATGAATTTTCATAATCACACTAAACACCCAACAACTTTTCCAGAAACCCCTTATGATCTTTTAGGTAAATTACACTAAACCCCCATGGACTTTCAAAATGCCTCTTTATGCTATTTTTGGTTCTAATGTATGGGGGTTATCTACAAAACTGAAAAAGTTTATCAAAATGCCTCTTTATGCTATTTTTGGTTCTAATGTATGGGGGTTATCTACAAAACTGAAAAAGTTTATGGGAATTTTTTGTAATTCCAAAAAGTTCATGGACTTTCAAAGTTTATTGCAAAACACTGAAAGTTCATGGGGTTTAGTATAATTTTTATATATAAGGGTAACTTAATGGTTTTTTCTATCTTATTTTTATGTATTTTCCTTCAAATTTCTTTCTTAAAGTTTCTTTCTAACCAAACATATACAAAACTCTTATTTCTTTTTATTTTTCTTTTTCTTTTTCTTTCTTTTCCTTTTCCATTTCATTTTCTTTTCTTTCACTTCACCTCAAACCAAACTTGGAAAATAAAAGAATATTAAGAATCCTACGGTTCATTTCAGCCCTAAAGCTGCACAACTTGGTGTGTTTGTTTGTTCCCATCACAGACCGAAATTCAAACGCGCATCGAAGATTTTTTTTTGGGTCCATTTGGTTGGTTTCCTAAAAACCAAGAAAAGAAAATTAGTACATGGAATTAATAAAATATTATTTTTATCTATTTCTATCTCTAAAAATCACCCACAACATCTAATAAAATATTATTTTTATCCAACAACTCATCTCATATCATCTCCTTTCTTACTTTTAAAAATAACCAAACACAAGAAATTGGTCGCATCTGTTTGCGTCAAAAATTGTTGTATTCATTGCGGTATTCATTACAACTTCGATCGTTACAATGAAAACAAAAAAAAGATTGTCTTTTTATAAGACTTTTACACAATGAAAACAAAAGTTTACAACTCTCGTCAAAACAAACGCAGAGGACGTTTATCACCCGCTGCTTTGCGTGGGATCTTTGCCTGTGCCGGGGTTTATCCGTGGACCGTCTTAGATCTGGATCCGGTTGATGGAAAATTCGGCAGAGCTTCGCCTTCGCCGAGGAAGTATTTGATTTGAAGCGCCGAAATCGACCAAGCGAAATCAGGGCTCTTCTCGAGATTAAGACCAAGCTTAATCTCAAGGGACGGACGGGAACGGGCGTCGGATCTCTCGAACTCTCCTTCTTTATGCCGAAGAACTCGCCAAGATCTGTCAACCCTCGCTGAAATTCGTGCTCCTTTGACTCCACAATCCGGCAGCACCTCCTTGTCTTGATAATCAATCGCCCCTCTGAAAAGAGGCCCTAGGTTTGTATTTATAGGGCTTCGGAAGCGGTTATTTGGATGAGAACAAGTGATTTGGCTCTGTTTGTATTTATAGGGCTTCGGAAGCGGTTATTTGGATGAGAACAAGTGATTTGGCTCTATCTTCAGTTGACATCAGCCTAACCACGTTTGGTGATGATATCTAGGTAGTTGGGAACCTCTGGAACTGAAAAGATCTCGAGAAAACCATTAAAACCGTCGAAATACACATCAGGAGGTCAAAACAGCGCGGCAGACTGGTCTGACCCGCGCTTGCGCGGGTCGGATCAGTCCGACCCGCGCTTGCGCGGGTCGGACCAATCCGACCCGTGCATGCGCGGGTCGGATCATCCCGTCCTGCGCTAGCGCGGGTTCGCCGACTTTTTCCCTTTTCTGTTTTCTTTCTTCCGGGACTTATTCTTGTCGCGTATTCGGTCGATTTGTTGACTTGTATGCTTTGTCACGAGATTGACTGTCGAACGCACGTTGGTTGATATACGCGCACGAACTGATCGTCACGCGCGTGTTGATCGACGCGCATGAACTGATTGACGCGCGCATGTTGATTAACGCATGCGAGCTGATTGGCGCGCGCGAGCTGACTGTCGAGCGCGCATGTCACTTGATTCGCCGTTTCGCTCCAGGCGCTTGTCGGCGTCAGATAATCCTCTTAGACTCGGATAACGATGTTCATCGTCTTCTCTCTGTCTCGAGCTGTGTGCGGACATCTATAGGCATTTTTAGACGCCTACAACATCATCCAACTCATCTCAAATCATCTTTAAAAATCACTCACATCATCCAATAATATGGTGACAACTCATCTCATCTCATTAACATTTCATTTCCTAAAAAACAAGGAAATTAATTTTCTTAAACATGCGTCACATCATCCAATAATATAATGACAGCTCACCTTATCTCATCTATTTTCTTAGTTTTAAGAATGAACCAAACACAAGAAAAGAACCTAGGAAATATATTTCTTATAATTTATTTTCTTATTTTTTTTAGCCAACCAAACAATCTCAAAATTTTTTTTTTATAGTTTCTTTCTTTAAAAATCACTCACATCATCCAATAATACGGTGATAACTTATCTCATTTTATCTTTTTTTTTTTTACTTTTAAGAAATGAATCAAACACAAGAGATCAACCTTTTATAAAAAATATGTTTCGTTATCTTTAATTTCCATGCTTTTTTTGCCAACCGAACGGACCCTTTGCTTCGTTCGGTCTATAGTACTAGTGTAGCTTCGAGGAACTTCCAATTGTAGTAGCAGAATAATAAACAATAAAGGCTAAATATTATAAAATCCCCCTAAATTTTGGATGATTGCCAGAAACCCCCCTTAACTTTTAAAATATCTGACACCCCCTTAACTTTAGGGTTTATTAGAAAATTCACTTTAACTTTGAGATTTTATAAAAAAATCCTCTAAATTAGAGGATGAATTCTAAAAGTTAAAGGGATGTTTTGTGATAATTTTCTATACTTAAGGGGGATTTTCTGATATTTTCCAAGCTAAGAGGGGGTTTTCTAATAATTATCCAAAGTTAGGGGTTTTTCTGATATTTACCCAATAATCGAATCATAACCATTGGCTGTGCGTGCCATACTAATATATACTCCACCTTTTGAGTTTTGATATTCTCTCTTCCTTAATAAAGAAGCTACACAAGCCCGAAAAGAACTATATCAAAAGCAAAATGCTTAAGGGGGTGTTTGTTTGCATGCAAGTGAAAGATGAAAGTGAGAAAATTACTTTCATTTAACAATTAAGGTGTTTGTTTTCATGCAAGTGGTTATGAAAGTGAGATGTAAAAAAGTTGCCACATAAGATTTAATGTAATTTTGACTTCCCCTAAAAAAGTGGTGAAGTCACATGAAAGTGACAAAAAAGTAACTAATTTAATTAAATAATTTTAATTATATTTTCTAATTAATCTTATTTTGCCACGTCATCTTCACATTACACTTTCGATAATAATTTAATTTTTTAAACAAACACTGTATTTCACTTGCGTGTTGACATGAATGTAAAAGTCATTTGCAAAAAAAAGTAACTTACATATTTTAAATTCACTTTCAGATTGCCAAACACCCCCTAAGTCCAAAGTTTCACCCATTTTGAATTTTGACACCTCAAAATTTATTCTTGCTTGTTCAACACCAAAAGTTTTGCTCGTATTGAACTTTGATATCCTAAGGTTTATTTTGCAAGTGGTGGATTTAAGATTTCTAGAAGGTGGTATCACTACATAATTAATAATTAAAAAACGACATGTCCTCCACAAGTTTCCATGCTTTGAAAATGCATATAGTTGCATTACTAGTAACACTACCAAATGCTACATCTTTCGTAATACCTACAATCGTTAAGTCAATCTTCTCTTTTTAAAGTATCACTACCAATCATTGCATCATTACAAACACTACCCATCACCCCTTCGAGAAACTCTCATGAATTCTTGCTCAGCACATGACTTAGGCTCTGTTTGGCAAAACTACCTGAAAGCTGCTAGATTATAGCTAAAAGCTGTCAAGCTAGCTGAAAGCTGTAAAATTGTAGCTGAAAGCTGATAGCTGTGTAGCTAGCTGATTGACTAGAGCTGTTTGGCAAAAGAAGCTATACAACTAGCTTAAATTTGTTAAATGACTAAAAATATCATGCAATATTATTGATATAAAATTAGAATTATTAGGGGCAAAAACAGAAGAAAAAAATTGACAGCTCATTCCCAAAGACAAACGCTACTTGAGATAGCTTTCCAAAAGCTACTTGCAAAAGACACAATCTCCAAAATAATCTCCTCCTATTTTTGGTTACCAAACAGCTCTACTAGCTTATTGACCAAGTCAATAAGACACAAGCTCTTAGATAAGACACTTTTTTTGGTTGCCAAACAGTACCTTTAGGTATCAAACGAGCAAAAACTAAACTTTGGGTATCAAACGAGCAAAAACTAAACTTTAGGCGTCAAAGCTGGAAATAGGTGAAACTTTGTGGAATCAATTGCCAAAAACAAACATGAGGATATCAATATTTGAAACTTTGGGCACCAAAGTGCAATTCAGCCAATAAAGTATAAAATTAAAATAAAAAACAATTGACCCTCTCCAAGAACTGGAGTTCTGACCCCTGCCGTCGTCAGTCACTCCGTCAAACCGCCAACTTTCTTCATCCTCGAACCGAATTCTCTCCTTGGATCTACTCCTTGTACAGGTACGCCCTCAATTTGTCCCTCTTTCAATCTGATCCCTCTGAGATCGATGCCCTAATTTCACTCCCTTCCCTTCCTTTCCCCTCAATTGAAGATCACAGCAGCGCTAAACCCTAATTAGTCCGTGCAGAAGTTGTTCATCATGTGGTACATGTAGATTTTTGATGTAAAGTTGCAATTTTGATTAATGTATGGGTTTCTTTTATGTTGATGTCATAATTTTGGTCTATGCTTTAAGTTTTATGTACTTGTTTGTATTGTACAAGGATATATGTGGTGTGAATTGTTGATGTATAGAGTTTTTCATCTATATATAATGATTTCTGGGGCTTTTTATGTTACAAAACCATAGTTAATTTTTGTTTCATGCACACGCTAATAGACATGACTGAAATAGTTCCATGTTGGTATTTGGCATGAACTTTTGCATGAATTTGTTTTTATTAATGATTAGTGATGGGGTTTTTGTTTAGTTCCGTGGTCTAGGAAAAGCTTGTGATAGGCTCTAAAAGAAGCGTCTTAAAGGATGATACCAATGCTATCTTTTTGCTTCAATTGTAAATGAACTTAAAGTACGAGACCGATGCTGCGTGTTTGAGTTAGTTGATTGGGCTGAGAACAGATGGTTTCTTAAGGTAGAGATGTCGTATTTCGAACTAGCATTTTGGGGAGTAGCATTTCGCTAAATAGCACGTCATCATGACATTGAGATTGAGGAGGATGACATTTGTAGAGTAAAAACTAGATAGCTAAAGCAGAGAATTTCTTCTAGGGTACTATACGAGTGTAGGATACTTGGGAAGAAACAAGTTCTGTATATTGCATGTAGAACCGGCTACATTTTAGTTTATTGGTCTGAATGCGTCTATTAAGAGCTAGAGGTTTCAAAAGTGAGTGTAGTCTAAGGAAGAATGTTACGACAGTAAGAAGGATACATTCAAAGATAAGAAACAAATGCTCCAATAGAGGTTAGGGTTGGGTTCACTAAAGGATAAGATGAGAAGGAATCATTTGAGGTGGTTTGGACAGGGCTACTTAAGACGGATATTTGGATGGTGTAAGAAGAGTGACCAGGGCTAGGGATAGAGATAATCAAACATGGATTTAGGCTGTAATAATGCATGTGAAAGACAGTACACTAATAGGGGAGGTGGGCCTTAATGGAGCAGACGGAAAAAAGATTCACGTATCCATCGCTGAATATTTATGACGGAAACTATGTTCTTGATGCTGCTACTGTAGCTATAACAGATAATTAACATCTGATGTGTTCCTGGTTGAATTTGAGAGTAATTGAAGAAAAGATATCTCTTGGGCACTATGATATGACATAGGACGCTGAAAATTAGATTTTAGGATTTAATTTTCTTATAAGCCTTTGATGTTATTTTAGTTCATATGCTTTAGTTGGAATTGTTATTTACTTTTATCTGTTAGTTAGTGTATTTGGGCATGATTTTAGGTATGATTTTTGTTATCTTTCAGTTAGGAGTTTGTTTGATTTGATTAGGATTTTCTCCTATAAATAATGATGTATTGCTTCATTTGAAGATGGAGAATTGATCAATAAAATTTGAGTTTGGAGATATGATTTTGGTGTGATTCTTTAGGCGTGGATTTTCTGATTAGGCTCTGCGAGTGAATCCGGCCTCTTCAAAATTTATCTTGGTTCTGTTTTTGCAATCACATCCTAATTACTCTTCATTCCTCAAGAAAGCAAACCATCCCTACAGCCACAACCGGCCATACCATCTCTGTTTTCCTGCACAAAAGCAAATAGTAGCAGCAAATCGCCAATGTCGATCTCCTCCAGCTAGTTCCTCCCTCATCGATCATTGCCGTTCCACATCAGATATCGAGTACTATCAACTGTGATTCTGTTCCTGATTTTCATGCTGAACTTTGATATTTAATCCATCAATTTCGAAGTTCATCAGGATTGCGACTTGCCTATGCTGAAGCCTGCCATATCGGAACTTGTACTGATAAAAGTACTACTACTGAATTATATACTCACCGTTACATCTTAGTAGGATATTGAAAAAGATTTAGTGAGGAACAATCTTCACATGCATAAGAGAAGACAATATCATAGAGATAAAGGTGGTTTGTCAATATAAATTCCCTTGATAATTTGGAACAGTAATAATTGATTATGTGTATAAATAAGTTGATGTTGCTGAATGCTGTAAAGTGTACCTTCTTGCCTATGAATGAATGTCTGTTGAAGTTATCAGTGCCTTCTGTGGCCTTTTGGGTTGCAAGCAAACAATAATTATCTTCCGAAAGCACAACACGTGTGTCATCATGGTGGACAATGCTGATAAAATGATCATTATTTTGCTGTCCAGGATTGTCCTCAGAAGGAGCTATTTGGAATAATAAGAGCGTATAGATTAGCTTGATAGATTGATCTTTTTGTCCTTGTTCAATTTTGGTCAGAATTAACAATGCAGATACATGGAACGCTCCTGATTATTTTGAATAATTCTTTTCGATCCTTTTGGTGATTAACAGTGAAAAGTAATCAAGAATATCTATATATAGAACTTCATGAGGTAAATTGCAGACTGGTGTCTACTTAATTAGGCCCCATGGTATGTTCCTAAAAGTGTTGGTTTTAGCAAGGTCTTTTTTGTCAATCTATAATCGGGATATCTAATGCATTTTCTCTGTGTTAGAGAGTTTTGACTGGCTATGGAGTCTCAGATGTTAACCCAGTCTAACCAATAAACTGCAATAAGCATTCATATCTGCATACGAGCCTGTCTATTTACTAATTAAAATGATCTGTTATTCATTGTCTTCTAGATTTTGTCTATTATGTCAAATTTGAATTAAAGTTAAAAGTTGGAATACAATGTCTTTGTTCTTTTTTTCTTCTAATTTATTTTATTCTATTGCATTATCTTATGTTTGGTAAGATGTGATTCCATTTGTCTCTTTGGCATATGTTGTACCCCAGAGGTTAATGTGGTTTCCTGTGGCAAATACTTAGTTTAAACCACTTTTTCTGTTCTAGGTGATGTTTGAGGTTCTTGCTTTATTTAAACTACAATATACTACAAAAAGGTAACACATCTTTGGGCATTTATAGGACTTCCTTCAATGAGCCTCTTTAGACACAAGTTAATGTTTTTTTCAGAGCTTCTCACTTAGGTACCCATAACCACTTTTTTTAGCAACGGCCTGGATAGTGAGTTAATAATAATGAGTCAATGATTATGGTGATGAAATATTAACTAAGAAAATAATATCATTGTGCTGACTTTAGCTGTGATACTTAAAACTTATACTGTTTGTTATCAGTTCTCTTCTTTCTGTATCTGCTTTTATAGTTCTCTCTGTCCAGTAAAAGGCATGGACAAAATGATTACTAAAATAAAAAACTTTTTGACATAACCTAATTAAATGATTCTAAGTTCTATTCATGATTGTCGGTTTCATCTGATTGATAAGCCTTATCAAACATAATTTTGTAGCAATGGCTGATTTGGGTGGCCATCCTGGGTCGCAGAGACCACCATTAAATCCCCAAGCAAACCCATTTGGCAATGCATTCTATGGAGCAGGATCTGGGATCATCCGAGGTGGCTTGGGGGCCTATGGAGAGAAATTTCTGGGTTCAAGCTCTGAATTCATGCAAAGCAATGTATGTTTTATGTAAAGTGTTAATATGCTTTTAGAATACTAATTGAATCTTAGTTGATAGTTTCTCTCCATATATGACTGCATCAATTATTACTTACTTTTGATATTCATGAAACAGATAAGCAGATATTTCTCCAATCCCCAGTATTACTTTCAAGTAAATGATCAATATGTCAGGAACAAGCTGAAGGTAGTCTTATTTCCATTCTTACACAGGGTAAGCTAATAACTTCCTTTTATATTTTACCTCTTCATATTCTAGAATTAAAAAAAAAGGAAGGGAAAAAAATTTCTTCCGACTTATAATCTTGTGTAATATAGGGACATTGGACAAGGATTACCGAACCAGTTGGGGGCAGACTTTCCTACAAACCTCCTGTTTATGATATAAACGCCCCGGATTTATATATACCTCTCATGGCTTTTGGCACGTATGTTATCCTTGCAGGATTCTCATATGGTCTTCTTGGAAAGTAAGTGCATTAGAATATTTCCCCTTTTCTTTTAAGAGCAAAGCACTAAGGGGGTAATGAATATAAGCTGCAACCTCATAGATAAAAAGGTTTCTGTTATATTAGACCCAAAAAGGTTTCTGTTATATTAGACTCACAATCTTTGTTAATTTAATTCTATAATTATATCAGACCCCGAAATGTTCATATTTCTAAGTTTGAGCCCTAAATGTGTTAAGCTGTTTGAAATGAGAGTCCTAAATCTGTTATGTTGTTTTAAATAGAACCTTCAAATCTATTAAGTTGTTTAAAAAAAGAACCTCATATTTAACAGCGTGAAGTTTGGGGGTCTAATGTGGAAATATGTGGATTTGAGAGTCTAATGCAGAATTAACAAAGATTTGGGGGTCTAATATGACATATAACCTAGATAAAAGTGATGAGGTCCACCTGCTTCCATTTGACTAGAAGTTTGGACTGACCATTAGCCTCTCTCTTATTAGTTCGTTTAGCAAAATGAACTGCCACCTCAAATCCATTTTTTCCACTTAATAAATAATTGTAAGTGCAGGTTTAGTCCAGAAGCATTGAGCATGCAATTCACAAGAGGATTGGTCGGTTGGTTTGTTCAAGTTTCACTCCTAAAAGGAATGCTATATTCCTTAGGAGGCGGTGAAGCCCCATTCCTTGACATTGTAGCATACGGTGGTTATGCGTTCGCTGGAGTCTCTTTGGGTTTATTAGCCAAACTTTGCTGGAGTTTCTCGTATTATTTTGTTATGTCTTGGATGAGTATTTGTATGGGGATGTTTCTGGTGAAGACCATGAAGAGAGTGCTGTTCACAGAGGTGAGGAGTTATGAGAAGCATCCGACGAGGCAGAACTATATGCTGTTGTTCATGGGCATTGCTCAGTTTCCTTTGTTTTTCTATCTTGGAAATCTTGGGGTGTAATTTGGTGATGTAATTGAATTTTGTTTCTTAAAAATTGTGTAATGGCGTATAAACAGATATTTAATAGTTTTAATGATGCTTGTTTTATTAAGCATGTACTACGTTCACTTGTATGTTGCTAATGGAGAAATCAAGAATATGAAAGTGGCGTTGAGTTCTCGGGTTTGTTTGACAAGGGTGATAAAGTTTTTGTGCATCTTTTTCCTTTTGAGTCTCGTTGTTCACAAATTCTGGAGTCTCCATGTTTCTTTCATCATTTCATATACGATGATATTCGGCTTCAAGTTGGCTCTTATTTTAAGAGATGCTGCCAAGTTTTGTAAATCTTGTGAATCATAAACATATCGTTGACAGCAATGTTGATAAATTGTCATCCTTGTAGCAATCGGCTGCTGCCTTCTATCCCAAAAACTTTGTGAAAAGCAACTTTTATTGGCTAATCCAAATACAATTCTCAAATTCTCATAAAAATACATAATACCACAAGCTCATCTATACTGGTTCAATCAATTATTCATTAAATGAAGACGAATAAGGAAAGGGGGAGGGGGGGGGGGGAATCTTTGAGCTCCTCTATTTGAATCTCGAAATTGAAAAATACAGCTCATGTCTCATTATTAATTTTAGAAAAATTCTCCAAGGACCCAAATTACTGTAGCATTTATTATTGCAGCACAGGCAGGAGAATCCAAGATTCACTAGGTATACTACAATAATTTACTGTAGCATTATTATTTAGCACATGTGTGAATCGTACGTTTAAAAATTACTGTATCATTATTCTCAAGCAGGACATTGTAACATTTAAAACTTTTACTGTAGAACTTACAAAAACTATATTTACATACAGAATCACTGTAGCGAAAATAAAAAAATGATGGTCGTGCAAAAGCACGGGTGGACACTAGTTAATCACTAAGGGGCTGTTTGGTTCGTTTCCTAGATATAGGGAAATGTAATTCCAAGTAAAGAAACCAATGTTTTTAGTTTTCCAAACTTTTCCAAGAAATAGTTTGTTTTGGTTTGGTTCGCACAAAAAATGGTGAGAAACCAATGTTTTTACTTTTCTTGTGTTTGGTTTGCAAGAGAAAAAAAGGGAAAACTTATGTTGATTTGACATTTCCCACTTTTCTTGTGTTTGGTTGGTTTTGAAGTGTGTAGGGAAGGGAAAAGTGTTTAGAGTCACCATGGTAAGATTACCCCCCACTATAGACAAAAATTATTTGTGCTAGTTATGAGATGTAATCTTAATCATATAAAAGTGCGAATGTATCATGAACAAATATTAATAACCCGAATGAATTATAAATTTCTGTTTGTATTAATGAAATCATACGAAACCTGAAATCATCTGAAACCTACTGTAACATGAACTGCGTACCTGATTTGACATGAAATATACCTGTTTGAGATGAAAATAATCACACAAAACCTGTTTTCGAAGAAAAAATAAACAAGACCTGTAATAACCTGATTATTCATAAATTTATGAAATACGTACCTGAATTAGCCAAAAAAAATTCTGAAACCTATAAAAACATATAAACGGCCTGAATAGCCATATTTTAGTACATAACATAGCAAATAGCCATCCAGTATATGTGAATTATGACTGTGGGCTCAGAACTTGTTCAATATCATCATCGTTAGCCATCCGGTGCAATATCAATAGATATTGCAGGTTGCTAATCTCAGAAAAATTAACAATCATCATAGCCTAAATTGAACACCCACAAACAGTATCAAAATCAACAAATAGTACGGAAAATCTGAGCACACATAGAACTCCACAAAACATTAGCTCAAATAGAAGATGAACAACAGAGCATCCACAAACAGTGAGCTCACAAAACTGGTGTGCACAAAACTGGAAGTTGTCACAAACCTGGACACAACAACAAACCCAAAAACCAACCTGGAAGGAAATCACAAACCCAACAACAAACAAGAACTTCTTTTAGCAACCTGGAATGAAATCACCAACCCAACAACCAAAAACAGAAGGAACAACGTAGAGAACACCATATCAGCAACAACAAGAAACCACAAACCCAACAACGTAGAGATCAACCAACAACCAGCAACAACAAGAAACCACAAACCCAACAACGTAGAGATCAACCAACAACCAGCAACAACAAGAAACCACAAACCCAACAACAAGATCAACCAACAACCAGCAACAACAAACCCAAAAAACCACCAACCAACAACAACCAGCAAAAACCAGCAACAACCAAACTAACCAGCAACAACCAAATCAGAAGAACCAGCAACCAGCAACAACAACAACTACCAACATAGACTGAGCACATGTTGTGTTTAGCTTAGGGCTCAGAACTTGGTCAATATCATCATTGTTAGCCATCCAATGCAATATCAATAGATATTGCAGGTTGCTAATCTCAGAAAAATTGACAATCATCATAGCCTAAAAATAAAAAAATCACCAACGAAAACCAAATACCTAAATGCCCCAGAGCAATAGCCATCCAGTACAATGTGTACACATTGTAGGTTGCTTGCATCTTAGGAAATATCCTGCATTCACAAATTCAATTACAAAAGTTAGTATTCCACAAAATGATATTAATCATGGAAGATAAATATTACAAAATGGAAGCAAATAAATACTTACTACATATTACAACAATATGTTCCATCATCATAATGTTCCACAAACACAATAAAAACATTATCACCAAAAGTAAGTGGATTTCACAAGTATGTTAGAAATGAGAATCACAAAATACCACGTAGAGACTTCTTCTATCGGTCTTCAACCCCCTTCGTTGAGAAAGGTAGCAATCATCTCTTTTTGACCAACCGATGATATGCCCATAAATAGTCTTGCTTCATGCTCATTCAAATATAAGTGTCGGTAGTATGTATCTAGCTTTTCAACACTAAAATCTTGTAAATGAGCATATATGACCGTGGATAACTTCTCGGTCCAATGCATATTTACACACTTCATGTTTGCGCTAAATACATCTATCTTATCCACCATTTTTAACATGAGCTCATCTTCTAGGTTGTTCCTACGAGCCTTTCCCTTAGCAACACATACCTTTGCTTTAGAACTTGATATGGCGGGTGTTTCCTTAGGCGGAGGAGTGTCCTCTTCATCTAAAATGTGTACTTGAGGGGATTGTGAGGCAGGTAAAGGCGAGTCACCATCATCTCCAAGATTTATGGACTCACTACGACTAAATTTTTTCCAAGCATCACATGCAAATTCTCCTCTAGCTTGATCATCCCCGATGATAAGGGAAAGATCATCGTAGTGAGTCAAGGGTTTATTGACATATTGTCTAAGTTTAGCATTCTTAAAGCTCTTGTCCTGAAAAGTATAATTGAATTAATTCAATGAAAACATGTAAATAAGATAAGTAATCAAGGGTTATGTAAAAATAGTTTATGTACCTCAATCCACCTATCCAAAAATTCAGGCTCCATGATGACAGTCTTGGAATGATTATACCCAAAAACCTGGAAGTTGAACACAAACCTGGAAGTTGTCACAAACCTGGACACAACAACAAACCCAAAAACCATGATTATACCAACAACCAACAAACCCAAAAACCATGATTATACCAACAACCAACAAACCCAAAAACCATGATTATACCAACAACCAACAAACCCAAAAACCATGATTATACCAACAACCAACAAACCATGATTATACCCAAAAACCAACAAACCATGATTATACCCAAAAACCTGGAAGTTGAACACAAACCTGGAAGTTGTCACAAACCTGGACACAACAACAAACCCAAAAACCATGATTATACCAACAACCAACAAACCCAAAAACCATGATTATACCAACAACCAACAAACCCAAAAACCATGATTATACCAACAACCAACAAACCCAAAAACCATGATTATACCAACAACCAACAAACCATGATTATACCCAAAAACCAACAAACCATGATTATACCCAAAAACCTGGAAGTTGAACACAAACCTGGAAGTTGTCACAAACCTGGACACAACAACAAACCCAAAAACCATGATTATACCAACAACCAACAAACCCAAAAACCATGATTATACCAACAACCAACAAACCCAAAAACCATGATTATACCAACAACCAACAAACCCAAAAACCATGATTATACCAACAACCAACAAACCATGATTATACCCAAAAACCAACAAACCATGATTATACCCAAAAACCTGGAAGTTGAACACAAACCTGGAAGTTGTCACAAACCTGGACACAACAACAAACCCAAAAACCATGATTATACCAACAACCAACAAACCCAAAAACCATGATTATACCAACAACCAACAAACCCAAAAACCATGATTATACCAACAACCAACAAACCCAAAAACCATGATTATACCAACAACCAACAAACCATGATTATACCCAAAAACCAACAAACCATGATTATACCCAAAAACCTGGAAGTTGAACACAAACCTGGAAGTTGTCACAAACCTGGACACAACAACAAACCCAAAAACCATGATTATACCAACAACCAACAAACCCAAAAACCATGATTATACCAACAACCAACAAACCCAAAAACCATGATTATACCAACAACCAACAAACCCAAAAACCATGATTATACCAACAACCAACAAACCATGATTATACCCAAAAACCAACAAACCATGATTATACCCAAAAACCTGGAAGTTGAACACAAACCTGGAAGTTGTCACAAACCTGGACACAACAACAAACCCAAAAACCATGATTATACCAACAACCAACAAACCCAAAAACCATGATTATACCAACAACCAACAAACCCAAAAACCATGATTATACCAACAACCAACAAACCCAAAAACCATGATTATACCAACAACCAACAAACCATGATTATACCCAAAAACCAACAAACCATGATTATACCCAAAAACCTGGAAGTTGAACACAAACCTGGAAGTTGTCACAAACCTGGACACAACAACAAACCCAAAAACCATGATTATACCAACAACCAACAAACCCAAAAACCATGATTATACCAACAACCAACAAACCCAAAAACCATGATTATACCAACAACCAACAAACCCAAAAACCATGATTATACCAACAACCAACAAACCATGATTATACCCAAAAACCAACAAACCATGATTATACCCAAAAACCTGGAAGTTGAACACAAACCT